TGAGACCAGTTTAGGGAACTAGGCCCTGACGAAAAGCAGAAACTGGTTCTTAAGAGGTACCTCACTGACACTCCGCTGCATTGGCGAACGAGTTATAGAGTTCAAAGATACTTTATTAAGAAGATTAATTTCTCTGTCATTGAAGACAGATACATGTATATACGTGTCATCCTTTATCCAAATCAGTTCAGGAGATTGATTCAATCTCTTGAAGATTTTTTTTTCTTTTTTGTGTTTAAATTCTTGTATAAATCGAAAAACTAAAAGTTCTTGAAACACCTAAGCTAAGGATACAGCAATGGGACTTCTGACAGTGTGGTGGTTGTCTGTCCAAGTATACCATCCAAAGAGGAACTCACCCTTCTGGACCTCACCAGCCAGTTGGCCCTTCTGCAGCTTAACCGTTATGGTAAACCGCTTTATCTGGCCGACCCGGTTGAACTTCATTATACTCGGTTTAGCTGTAACCGAGACACCCAATGGCGGTTTTGCACTGAAGAAGTAAGTACTCGTTCCATTACTGGATCCAACATTTGTAACACTTCTCCTTACCCTTATTCTTCTGCTGAGATTAGGGATTGAGATTGACGGGTAATTCAGGTTATAGCCGGGAGGAGGTTTCTTGGGGCATTTGAATTCTGGGTCAACATTGGTTAATCCGACAGAACAGCAATAGAGAAGGTAGTCTTGGTATGATGCATCATAGACTAAACCGGGATCCGCTGCTTTTGTTGGTCTGAAATGCCCTGAACCGATTGCAAATGGATTCGCGGGTAAACCATTCACATCTTGGATCGGTTTTTCCTGGTCATTGGTCATCCAGGCTGCAACGGAGAAGCGGAAAATCGGGAAATGAGAAGGAATTGTTAACTGAGCTTAGTCTTAGTAATAAGGTACTGATAGATAATGTTACCTGTGGTCATGATGGCAGATCTGATAGCGGCACTGCTCCAATTGGGATGTATGGCTTTGAGAAGAGCAATTGCTCCTGAAACATGAGGACAAGACATGGATGTTCCTGAATACAGATTGAATTCCACAACTCTTCGGTCCACCGATATTTTGGTGGGAGAATCAGCTCCGCTCCATGCCGCCAGTATGTTCAGTCCCGGAGCCGTTATATCCGGCTGCAAAATCAAGAAAAACCTGGTTCAGACATCGGTTCTGTACCCGGTTAGGAGGAAACCAAGAAATCGATTAAATATATATATATATATATATATCAACCTTGAGGATATTGGGGTCTATGACGTTTGGGCCGCGGCTAGAGAATCCAGTCACGAATGGAGCCGGTTGGGACTGGTAAACCGTTTCTCCCGGTTTGATGAGAGCGATCGGTTTTTTATCGGTTCTGATGTAATATAGGATCTTGTCCACTATGGAAGGGATGACTCCGGCGGCTGGAACGAAATGGGGATCGAGGGGGACGTCGTCGCCGTTGGCCAGGGCGTTGCCTAGGATCAAACCGGCCCCTCCGGCTCGTTTCACCTCAAGACCCTTACCGATTCTTGAACCGGCCCCTCTCAAACACAATACCACCTTTCCCTTCACTAGCTTTGGTGATAACGAGTTGGGTAAACATTGTCTGCGCAAAATATAAGTGATTACTCATGCATATATGTATATGTATATATATATATGTATATGTATATGTATATATATATGTATATGTATATGTGTATATCTTACGCTGTATTGTTGGCCGCGACGGCTCCAGGAATGGTCACGTCAGCAGCATAGACCAGCGGCGCAAAGTTGTCCATCTTGTATGACGTAACCGACTCCGTCTGAAAAAAGGATATTATGTAACATTGATTTTATATATATAAAGGGTCTAACCATTTATTAGGAAATATGTATGTGTAATATGATACTGTTTGTTATATACCTTGACGGTAAAACCGTTCCCAAGAACCAAACCGCCGATGAAACTCCGGTCGAGGCTACTAGCTCCAACGGTAATAATCCATGGCGCTGGATTTGACAGGGTTCCCGGCTTCGGGCCGGAATTTCCTGCACTGGCAGCGACCACGATGTTCCGGCGGACGGCGTGTAAAGCCCCTATTGCGATACCGTCCTGCGAAAAAGGCAGAGGCTCGGTGGTCCCAATGGAAGCGCTGATGACGTGGACGCCGTCAGAGATGGCGTCATCAATGGCGGCCAACATGTCCTCTTCGAAACAGATGTTGCCGTCCACTTTTTCCGAGTCGGGTTTCGCCCAGCACGCCTTGTAGATGGCGAGACGGGCCTTAGGGGCTCCGCCCGATGCGGTCCCTCGGGCAAAGCCACCAATGGCGGCGGCTCTCCTCACTGGCC